TACGTTCCTCCGACTGAAATTGTGCTTATAAATTCTTCAAATGCCATTGGCCAATGCTTTGAGAAACAAAAATGCCATTCAATTCAGCTTCCTGAATTCACAGAACTCACAAAGAAGAACATCTTAAAACCCTGGCAAATAAAACCCAAAGTATCTGCTTGGTTTGAAACGGCTAACATTTAAGTGTGGAGAAATGTGTCTTTTTGTATATTTTGGCAAACTGACCCTTATGGAATGCTTTTGAAAAGGAAATAATTTGGCGTTTGTGGTGTTCAAGGTGCTGATCCAGCTCCAAGGAGGAATGATGGAAGAGGAGGATCAGCGAGAAAGTGTTTAGCTGGTGGTTGAAAGACTATAGTGCGTAGCAGAGAGTGAATGGAGATAGAGACAGAGGATGGAGGGAGGTGGTGATGGGGAAGGGGGGGGGGGGGGGGGGGCAACAAGATGGAGAGAGACTGCCTGCACATACTGTCAAGGCAGTTAATATAAGGTGTGGAGATAAGGCCCACAGACAAACATTGACCAAATCAGGCATTTCAGCAGCGCAGCCCGAACTGTCAGTCAGCCTGAGAGACAGACCAACAATCAGCACTTTACCTCTGATAAGGGCTCTACTGAGCGCGTGCAGGAAATAGCCAATCTGCAGCCAGCCTGGCAAGGAGGGTGATGGTGGGGAGCGGAGGGGGGAGGGCGGTGCGATGATGGAGAGTGAAGGGGTTAGAGGAGGGAGGGAATGTAGAGAGACAACAAGTGAGGGAAAGTGGCCTATAAATTTAGAGAGAAATGTGGACCAAGAGTTCACTGGAAGGGATAATACCCAGGAGGAAAGATGGAGAGAAAAGGAAGGAAAACAGGGTGATATTCCTCCACACACCCCCGAGAAAGAGAAAGAGAATCTGTAGGGAATACAAGTGATGGGGATATAAAAAGAGAGATGTGATATCGGCTCCTAAAATAGTGTCTTTCCCCAGTTTTTTGTCACCTGGGAACAGCTTGCGCACCGAGAGTGTGAGAACTTGGTTTAGACCAACACCTTACATTAATGATTTGCCAACAGCTTTGACTAGCTCATTATTCAACGTGCTGTTCGCCTAGCCTCGCACACAATAGCATCATTTCATCGTCTCTATTGATTAATGGTGCATATAGTGTGTACATGCGCGTGCACAGATTCACCACATTCATCCACATGAGTGTGTGTGGTGTGTCTGAGTGAAGGATAACACTCCCTTTTTAATGGAGGAGTCTGCACTAGCCATGAAATTCCCTCATAACAAAATAAACACATCCAAAACACTGGAGTGGATGCCTTTGGAAAATGCACAGTAGTGGAAGGCTACGTTGGTTAGCTCAGATCCACACTGGCCCCTTCAGGAACGGCCAGGAACTACAGTCTGCGAGTTTGTAAATAAATTCCCAGCCGTTTACCTTTGTCAAACACATTTAGGTTCCTCCAAGCAAAACAGGGGAGAGCACCAACAGCTGGCCAGTATTTATTTTCAGAAGTGCAGTCAGAGGGGTGTCTGGGCTTCCTTGATCATGAACTAAGCTGCCATTACCATGACCACTGATAACAGTAGGAATCGTAAACAAGCTAATCACCGAGGGCCCTATTTGTATTCTCATTTGTGTTTGCATGCACTGCTGTGCAGGGGG